ATCATTAAAATCGAAGATGAAGAAGAGGTATCTATGATAGGTGATGGTCCATGTACGGTGGAGAAAATCCCACCAGCGATCAGCAAAGGTGGGTAATGAGCGCTAAATCCAGAGAAGAGTCCCACATGCTCCTTGTCCAGTCACTTCAACAATCTCTTCTTCTCCTCTCTATTCTGATAATTCCGCTCTTTGTTCCTTTGTCTTTCTATCAAAGAGTGATGCAAGCATAAAGTCCGCACCACTCCTCTAAACTAGGATCCTGCTTCTAATTACCAAAGGAGTGACCTGGTCCATTTTCCATGCTGTATTTGCAACAGACAGAGAGCAGGAGAGATGGAGCTGCTTACTTCCTCTGCCCTCTCCCACCCCCTGCCCCAGCTCAGCTGAGAAGGAGAAGGAACAATGGTAATTCTACACCTACATCTACACCTCCTCCCTTGGTCACTTGATAAACTCCCATGGCTTCAATTACCATCTCTATGCTGATGACACGCAAATCTATCTGTCTACCCCTCACCTCACCCTTTCAGTCTCCACTCGCATCACTAGCCTACTAAGTGACAGCTTGGATGTCACTCCACTTCCTCAAACTCAACCTTTCCAAAACTGAGCTCTTAGTATTCCCCCCTGCCCGTGCCACCTCCACTGACTTCACCGTAAATATCGATAACACAATCATCAGTTCATCCCCTCATGCCAGGGTACTAGGTATAACCCTAGACTCCCATCTGTCCTTCCAGCCCCAGATCCAATCACTGACAAAATCATGTAGACTTCACCTCCGCAACATCTCCAAGATACGACCGTTCCCAACCTCAGAAACTACTAAGCAACTCATTCACTCCCTTGTTATATCTTGCCTTGACTATAGTAACTCCCTCCTCATTGGCCGACCTCATCGCAGGCTATCCCCTCTTCAGTCTATCATGAATGCTGCTGCCAGACTCATCCACCTTACTAACCGTTCTGTATCTGCCACCCCTCTCTGCCAATCCCTCCACTGGCTCCCAGTTGCCCAATGTATAAAATTTAGAACACTAACAATGACATATAAAGCCGTCCACACAACACTGCCCCAAATTACATAACCGATCTTGTCTTTAAATATCACCCAAAACCGTACTCTCCAATCCTCGCAAGACCTCCTACTCTCTAGCTCCCTTATCTCCTCCTCCCATGCTCATCTCCAGGACTTCTCCAGGGCGTCCCCCATCCTCTGGAACTCTCTACCCCAATCTATCAGACTATCGCCTACTCTACTTACTTTTAGGCGATCACTGAAAACCTATCTCTTCAGGGAAGCCTATCCCGCCCTCTGCTAATAATGGAATCCTCCACTCTTTCAACCACTCCATCCCCCACAGTTATTACCTATTGTACCATTAACCCCTCCCTCCTAGATTGTAAGCTCCAAGGAGCAGGGCTGCGTTTATAAGGTGTGTCACTTGTGCTAGTTTTTTTTCCACTTTGAAATGCAAACTGACACGAGTGGAGTAAATAGACCTGCAACAGGTCTATCTGCTTTGTTAATGTGGTGCCCGCCACTCCCCCCGCCTCTTGGACACGGGGTGAAAAAAGTGCCACAGTTATAGCTATGGGGCTTTTTTTTCCCTAAGGATACACAACCATGAAAGAACCCGATTCAAAGTGTTTTTTCTTTACCGATCTAAATGCAGTTGTATGGTTTTCAATGGGGGCATGCACACAGGTGGGTAAACGTGCTGCATTCAGATCTGTAACCGAAAATTAAAAAAAAAAATCTGTGCCAGAGGACAAACATTATGCGCACATGCACGCATGTATATGTGTGTACATCAGTGTTTCTCAACCTTTTTTCAGTCAAGTCAAGGCACCCTTTATAATTATGGACAGTCCCGAGGCACCCTTTAAAATTATGGAAATTCTTGAGGAACCCCATTCTGAAATGGGGTGCCTTAAGACTGTCCATAATTTTAAAAGGGCACCCCATTTTAAAATGTGAATAACTACTCTAATAGATTTCTATAACACAGCAACATCCACACACGTAGGACACCCAGCATTAAAGGTGATTTATTCTTCCAAAGCAAATACACTTTTGCGCACTGGTACTGACTAGTATTCCAGTGTTTCTCTTCTCCCTCACTGAGCTAATGTGACCCCAGCACTGATGGAAAGGGGCAGGGGAGGGTCAAGCTAGGATGCTGTGCAGGCAGCTGGCATCCTCCTTATCAACTGATGATGTCATTGGTTGTCAGGATGCCGGCGGCTAGAAGGTCGTAATGGTGCACAATGAAAATCTGTGGCTTTGTGTAACTAAAAGGCAGGCTTGATCCATCCGCTGGCTTGTATACAAGTTTTGGGCAATTTTTAGACATTTTGCCAAGGCACCCTTGAAGAAACCTCAAGGCACCCCAGGGTGCCTGGGCACCGTGGTTTAGAAAGGCTGGTATACATAGATGCAAAAAGTGGATTGAAACTTTGGCAGCAAAAGAGAATGAAGATGAATTTTACGGGTGTGTGTGCAAGGTCTTTATGGAAGATAACTTTTTTTTTTTAACTCAGGATTTACCATATTTTGCCTCTGTCAGCAACATAAACATCAGCAAGGCCCCGTTCACACCTGGGCGTTTCTGATCACGATCCCCCGACGCTCTGCAAAGCGGACAATTCGCACCACGCTTGTTCAGGTGCCATTCATTTTCAATGTCTCCTAGATTGTAAGCTCCAAGGAGCAGGGCCCTCCTATCCCTCTTGTATTGAACTGTATTGTTGCTGTATTGTCTCCCTTTATATTGTAAAGCACTGAGAAAACTGTTGACGCCATATAAATCCTGTATAATAATAATAATGTCACCTAAACACGGGTGCGGTTCTGCCACGATTGCCATGCGATAAATCTCTCTCCAAACGTGGCAAACCGCTTGATGCTTAAAAAGGAGCAGAAGTTTATTTTGGGCGAAAAGCTTCGCGTGATGAGGCTTGTTGCGATTGCAGTGCGATTTATCACGCAGCAATCGTGGCAGAACCGCATCTGCGTTTAGGCGCCATTGAAAATGAATAGCACCTGAACAAGAGTGGTGCGATTTGTCTGTTTTGCAGGGCATTTTGGGATCACGTGCAAGATTGCAGCGATTCTGCCTGTGATTGCAAATGCCCAGGTGTGAATGGGGCCTAAATTATTATGTCTGTGTTCAAGAGGCCACTGGGACAAAGCCAAACGTGTGCTCAAAGTGCGGGAAGCGGTTTCTTCTCAGGTCCTATCTTACCATCCATCAAAAAGTGCACTCGGGAGAAGCCTTATTCCTGCCCCGAGTGCGGCAAACGTTTTACGGTAAAGTCAGGTTTCACCCGGCACCAAAAAGTCCACAGTGCCGAGAGGCCGTTCTCGTGCTCGCAGTGCGGGAAGTGTTCTGAGTGGAAGTCGTCCCTTGACTATCATAAGAAGAGCCCCCTTGGGTTACTCAGTGCTCCAGGAGTTAAACCCGCCTCGGACTTTTGTTTCCCTTCCGCTTAATCAGTTTCACTCCCATGAGCTCGGGATAATGAACATCAACAGACAAAGCACTGTGGTGTATCAACTCCGTATTGGAATATTATTCTGCAAGCTCGACATTTCTATAAAATATACATAAGGAGTGGCTTAGGCAGTAGCCAATTACAGGTTAACAGTTTGCATATGTAGTGAGTGAAACTCATATCACTCATGTTTTCCAGTCAATCAAAACACTTCAGTTTTGTTGTAGCTGACTAGAAAACTACTGTTTAATACAAAACTCACGTAACCCTTCAAGGCCGTATTTGTTAAATCCCCCAAATGTATTTATTCTGTGTGTGTGTGTGTGTGTGTGTGTGTGTTTTTCCAACAGATGGATCCAGGAACAGAAATCCCCCAGAGAGATGTCCCTGTCCTCTGTATTCCCGGGACTCCACACAGGAACATCAGGAGATCCCTCAGGAGGATCAGGTAGATGGAGCTGAAGGTTCTCAGATACAGTCATGAAGTAATCGCATCTTCTTCTCTTGCAGTCTGGAAATCCAAAGTATTGAGAGCATTTTGTGTCTTATCCAGAGTGATGACTTCACTGTCATTACAGTCGAAGATGAAGGAGAGATTTCTATTGTGGGTGATAAGCCGTGTACGGTGGAGGAAGTTCCTCCAGAGATCAGCACAGGTGAGGAATAAACTCTAAATCCAGAGAAGAGTCCCAGATCCTCCTTGTTCAGTCACTAGAACAATCTCTTCTTCTCCCCCCTCCTCTGTCAGTAGACAGCAATGGGGGGACAGTATGTGCCCAGTGGGGAAGTCAGGAGCCATCAGCCTCTATTAGACTCTGGCTCTCTTCCTCACATCACTCACATCATGTCACTGAGACTTGACCAGTCTCCCCCCACACACACTCTCTGGGATCTCTCATACATCTCAGTACAGGGGGCTTCACTCTCATCTTTATTTGCAGACCCCGGAGACACCACCAAAGTCACTCAGAGGTACGTCAAAGCTGAGGAGAAGGAAGGACATGCAAAGATTAAAGGGGATGGAATCCCTCCAGAGATCAGCACAGGTGAGGAATAAACACTAAATCCAGAGAAAAGTCCCAGATCCTCTTTGTTTCATCACTACAACAATCTCTTCTTTCTATCATTCTAACCATTCCAACCCCTTATTAATTTTTTCTTTTTCCAGGTGGAACAAGTCGGAATAACTGGGCAAAATGTCCCGTGATCTCTCTAGACAGTGAGATGGAAGATACTGACATCACATCCGATTCTTCGGATTATGACTCCATTACACCACATCGCCATTCAGTTCTTCCCAGTGCAGATCTTTCCTCCGATCCCTCCACACATGGGGCAATTTTTTCTGATCAGTTCCCCGCTATCACTTCTCAAACGTCTCATGGTGAGGATAATATTTTACAACATTCCGAAGGAGGTGAAAATGTTACCCAGGAAGGGAACTTTGTTGAACAACAGACAAATGATACGGGCCAGAAGGAGAATTCTTTCACTTGCCCCGAATGCGGAAAATGTTTTGCCCTGAGGTCCAGCCTTACTAGACATCGGAGAGTGCACACTGGGACAAAGCCATACGTGTGCTCAAAGTGCGGGAAGCGTTTTCTTCTCAGGTCCTATCTTACCAGCCATCAAAAAGTCCACTCAGGGGAGAAGCCTTATTCCTGCCCCGAGTGCGGCAAACGTTTTGCGGTAAAATCAGGTTTCACCCGACACCAGAAAGTCCACAGTGCCGAGAGGCCGTTTTCGTGCTCGCAGTGCGGGAAGTGTTTCCAGTGGAAGTCGTCCCTTGACTATCATAAGAAGACACACGATGTGGAAAAGCCTTTTGCGTGTGAGCAGTGTGGGAAGTCTTTTCAGTGGAGGACGTTTCTCGACTTTCACATGCATACGCACACCAATGAAAAGCCGCCTTCTTCCTGAGTGTGAGATTGTATGTTTCCTTTTACCAAACCCCCTCCATTCAGAAGGGTAGGTGCACTTTTGTGATAAAAAATAAAATTCTACTTCGTTCCTCTTGGCTGAATTTAATACTTTTGGAGGCTGGAGTGATAAAATTATGATATCCATACACCACCTGCTGTTAGTGCAGTGTCCAGAATAACGTACAAAAAGAAGGTGCCCTGAAGCAGGAAGGAATCATGCCCATCTTCTCTTTTGCTGTGCTATCTTCCAGATGATCTCTGCCAGCCATTCATAAGCTAGCAGAAGGTACATCTAAGACCTCATTCACCATGGGTGAATCTGTTTATGTGGCTTGAGCTGCCAGGTGCTGTCTGCAGGCAGCCCATGTACGTGTGTGGGGATGCAGCGCCTAATTGGACACAGTTGCTCTTCCCAGTATGAAGATGTTGACATTGATGATGACGTATATGATTGTCAATCTATCAATCTTCATCACCGTATTTTGATGATTGTCAATTTATCCATCTTTGTCATTGAGAGAACAAAAGTACTGAGAATGATGTTGATGATTATCAATGTATTCATCTTCATCATCGTGAGCACGAAAGCCTTAAAATTAAGTTGATGTTGACGATTGTCAATGTATCCATCTTCATCGAGAGAATGAAAATGTTGAGAATGATTTTGATGATTGTCAATCTATTCATCGCCTTCATCAGGAGAACAAAAGCATTGAGAATAATGTTGATGATTGTCAATGTATCCATCTTCGTCATTGCGAGAACGAAAGCATTGAGAATGATGTTGATGATTGTCAATGTATCCATCTTCGTCATTGCGAGAACAAAATCATTGAGAATGATGTTGACGATTGTCAATGTATCCATCTTCATCATCAAGAGAATGAAAATGTTGTGAATGATGTTGATGACTGTCACTCTATTCACCGTCTTCATCAAGAGAACAAAAGCGTTAAGAATGATGTTGATGATTGTCAATGTATCCATCTTCGTCACTGATAGAACAAAAATGTTGAGAATGATGTTGACTGTCAATGTATCTGTCTTCATCATCGTAAGAACGAAAACACTGCGAATGATGTTGACGATTGACAATCTATCCATCTTCGTCATCGAGAGAACAAAAGCGTTGAGAATGATGTTGATGAATGTCAATCCATCCATCTTTGAATTCTGAGAAAGAAAATGTTGAGGTTGATGTTGACAGTTGTCAATATATCCATCTTCATCACTGTCAACACAAAAACTTTGACAAAGAAGTTGACAGTGACATTAAAGTTGACAATCGTCTATCTTCATCATCGTCAAACACATTGATAATAACGTTGACAGTCGTCAATGTATCTATCTTCGTCATCATCAACTAATTTTTCTGTTTCCTGTTAGAATCACCAAGATGAATATGTTGGTGATCATCATTGTCAATATTTTTTTTGTTTGACGATCGATACATTGACGATCACCAATGTCAACATCTTCAAATTGGCCAAATGGCTGTTTCGGAGCAACTAAACTGGCTGTCAAAGTATCCATCTTTGTCACTGTCAGCACGAACACGCTTTGACGAAGATGGATACCTTGGTGATGTTATCATCAACATATTTGTGTTGATGATGATGTATACACTGACACCCGCGCCCATGCGAATGAGGCCTAAAATAGAACCCCAGCTGCTTTCCTTGACACAACACTGTACTCAAATACCTGAGGCCTTTTCAGTAAAGATCAATTTGGACGGGCAAGATCATGATAATCCTTGTGCGCCAGGACTTTACACAACCGTCCCTTTGGTAGTTGCTGAGCTGTATCACTAATTAATCTAAAACGGTAGAAAGTATTTACTAGGCTGGAAAGTAAGGGATTGTCTCACTAGCAGGAACCCAGACAGAAGACAGTAAAGTCAGACAGTTGAACTGTGATTTTACCGCCCCCCCCCCCAAACAATGGCATATACTTCGGGTGCAAGGCCTTGTTTTGTGGCCACAGAAAAAATGAAGTGGCAGGTTGCTTTTGGTGGGTGGTGCCGCTGTCCTCTACTCTGGGGACCCTTTGCTAGTTGAACCCGCCATAGACCTATCCATCAATGATGATGTGGGGGTGGGGAGTCCTTTGTGACTTTGTTGCTGGATCCCATAATCACAATGTTTAGATTTTTATTTTAATACCATGATTAAGAAAACATTTACCATACCGTCTTCACAAAATTGTATATATATATTACAAAAATTACAATAACAAACATACCTATCATCAATTAGCCCATCACCAGAAACCTGCACTTCCGCCCTGTGGCTCCTTGACTTCCGCTCCATGCGTTCCACGGGCCACGCAGTTGCTTCCTGGTTGCCATGGTGACGCCCAACGGAGCAGCTGAACAATCTTCCTAGAAGCCGACAATAACAGAGAGCTATTTATTCCAGCGTGGTGACCTCTACTGGGCAAAGTGGGATCACACACGCCTGAGCTAAATCCTGACCAACGTGTCCTCAGTCTAACAACACGGCGGCCATTTTGTTGTAGCTTCTATAGGTATTGGCTAATTAATTTTTGTAAAACAGAGCAACGTTGTGAAATGATAGCTCATGTAATCCCAGAGTCGCCATATTGAAATAAAAATTGAATTAAAAACGCTCGAATGGTTGTTCTGAGAGCGTGTGCTCGGTGGCCATTTTGTTGTAGCCCATGGGAAGAGACAAGAAGGAGCTCCAGTTGTGTTAAGACTGCTCTTAGTGGGGATGTAAGCCTGGAGAAGGTAATATTATGATATCAAAGGAGATCACAGCATGCCTGTGCACTGGAATGGGTGTTGGGCAATAGATCACATGTCCCCCTATACAGCACACAATCAGGGGTCAGCAGGCTCTGCAGTGGGGGAATGATTCTCCTATGGTGTATTGGGCTCTGTAGTGAGATAAATATTTAAATAGCCCCCATTATCACACACTTAAAGGGCATGTATCCTACTTGGGGCACTTATTATGACTCCACCTCCCCTCCACTGCCAAAAGAACTGACCTAACTATGCCAGGGGCCCCATACTCTTCCATGATCAATAACAGTCAACGCAGTCACAGGGCAACCTCTAATTCAGCACCACCCTCTCTCTACTGGAGGGGGCAGAAACTGCTGTGTGTTGACCTTTAACTAATTGTGGCTTGACATTTACAGGTCCTTCACCAGAAGATCCAACGTCATGATGGAGAACCGGCCGCCCCTCACATCACCGGGTAAGAGGAGACTTTCATTTCTTGTATTGAGGATCCACCTAGATACACACATCCTCTGATATAAAGACATAGAAACAATGTATTCAGTCAGTGTGTGTGTTTCCTACAGATGGATCCAGTAATGGGAACCCACCAGAGAGATGTCCCCGTCCTCTGTATTCCTGGGACTCCACACAGGATCATCAGGAGATCCCTCAGGAGGATCAGGTAGGTGAAGCAAAGGTTCTCAGTTGCAGTCCAGACATACCAGCATCTACTTTTCTTGCAGTGATGATGATCAGAGGTATTTAGAGCATTCTGTCTCCTATACAGAGTGACGGCTTGACTGTGGTTAAAGTTGAAGATGAAGAAGAGATGGGCATGATGGATGATGGTCCATGTAAGGAGGAGGTAATTCCTCCAAAGATCAGCCCAGGTGAGGAATAAACACTAAATCCAGAAACAAGTACAAGAATGTATTGCATGGTGGGTAGTCTGTACTGAACATTGCATTCTCAATGCATGTTGAGCCCCTGGGCCACACAGTGTCACTGGTTGCTATGGTGCTGTTGGCTGCACAGTGTCACTGGTGCTATGATGCTGTCGCCTGCACATTGTCATTGGTTGCTATGATGCTGTCAGCTGCACAGTGTCAGTGATTGCTATGATGCTGTCGGCTGCACAGTGTCACTGGTTGCTATGATGCTGTCAGCTGCACATTGTCATTGGTTGCTATGATGCTGTTGGCTGCACATTGTCTCTGGTTGCTATGATGCTGGCGGCTGCACAGTGTCTCTGGTTGCTATGATGCTGTCAGCTGCGTGGTGTCATTGGATGCTATGATGATGTTGGCTGCGCGGTGTCACTGGTTGCTGTGATGTTGACTGCACGGTGTCACTGGTTACTATGATGCTGTCAGCTTTACAGTGTTACTGGTTACTATGATGCTGTCAGCTGCATGGTGTCACTGGTTGCTAGGATGATGTTTGCTGCACTGTGTCACTGGTTGCTAGGATGCTGTTGGTTGCACGGTGTAACTGGTTGCTAGGATGCTGTTGACTGCACAGTGTCACTGGTTGCTATGATGCTGTCAATTGCACAGTGTCACTGGTTGCTATGAAGCTGTCAGCTGCACAGTGTCACTGGTTGGTATGACAACCTGTTAAGCTTGCAGCACTGCTAAAAGCCAAAAGACTTGAGATAATCCCGCCGGTAACAGAGTATGGGAGCTGGCATTGCTGCACTGATTTAGAGACAATGGAAGTAAGGAATGACAGATTCTGCATCAAACCTCCCCAGTGGGAATAATGGTATTGGCCTCAGCCACCACTCCAACAATGCCCACTGATGTGTTTCACCCTGCCCACCAGGGGCTTTGTTACAGAGCTCACCTCGATGGGCGGGGCGAAACATGTCAGGGTGCGTGGCTCAGACCAACACTTGATGCTGTGTCTGTCCTTCCTTCCATTGTATTTGGTTGCTATGATGCTGTCGCTAAGGCGATGTTGGCTGTGCAGCATCAGGGCAAACCAAAGATGCATCCACAGCCCTCTGCAGCTGTCAGTCAGGAAATTCCCGTCATTGACGAAATATGGGCATTGCCATATTTGGGTGATGACATCAGCCAGCATTTTTGGTCCCCTTGTTTATATTCAGCCATCGGCTGAATATCAAACAATCCTTCAAAGTTAGTATTACTAAACCCCGGACCCTGCATTCACTATATCTGGTCTCCCCAAACCCTGCATTCACTATATCTGGTCTCCCCGGACCCTGCATTCACTATATCCGCTCTCCCCGGACGCTGCATTCACTATATCCGCTCTCCCCGGACCCTGTATTCACTATATCTGCTCTCCCCGGACCCTGCATTCACTATTACCGCTCTCCCCAGACCCTGCATTCACTATATCCGGTCTCCCAGGACCCTGCATTTACTAGATCGGGAAGAGCGGACGTAGTGAATGCAGGGTCCGGGGAGAGCAGATATAGTGAATACAGGGTCCGGGGAGAGCGGATATAGTGAATGCAGCGTCCGGGGAGAGCGGATATAGTGAATGCGGGGTCCGAGGAGACCGGATATAGTGAATGCGGGGTCCGGGGAGAGTGGATATAGTGAATGCGGGGTCCGGGGAGAGTGGATATAGTGAATGCAGGGTCCAGGGTTTACACTTTAACTCACATTCATACATACACATACTAGGGCCAATTTAGACAGGGGCTAAGTAACTTACCAGTATGTCTTTGGAGTGTGAGAGGAAACCCACGCAGGTACAGGGACAACATGCAAACGTCAGGCAGGTAGTGCCGTCATTGGGATTCGAACCGCAACCCTAGTGCTGCCAGGCGAAAGTGCTAACCACTTAGCCACTGTGCCTGAATGTGACCATTACATCTTACATGAACATAGCAATGTAACTGTTTCCTACAGATGGATCCAGTAACAGAAACCCCCCAGAGAGATGTCCCCGTCCTCTGTATTCCCGGGACTCCACACAGGAACATCAGGAGATCCCTCAGGAGGATCAGGTAGATGAGCCTTCAGCTTTCCAAAATACAATTAAAGGACTTCTGTTGAGTCTTCTTGAGGAACAATTGTTAGTTTTATATCATAGGTTATTTTTTTTTCTGCTTTAGGAGGAAAATCTGCTTAATTTTAAAGTTGAAGTGAAGGAGGAAGTAGAAGAGCCATATGTGAGGGATGATGAGTCATGTAAGGAGGAGGAGATCCCTCCAGAGATCAGCCCAGGTGAGGAATAAACACTAAATCTAGAGAAGAGTCTCAGATCCTCCTTGTTCAGCCACTACAACAATCTCTTCTTCTCCCCACCCCCCTAGATGGAAGATACAGAAGGTATAGCATGGAGGACCGTCTTGTTACATCTCCAGGTGGTGGGATAGAAGATGATGACTCTACATCGGGCTCTTCTGAAGGAAGTTCCATCACCTCAGACCTCCATCCTTTAAGGCACAGCACAGATCTATCATTTGATCGTTCTGATCACTCCAAGGCCACTACCCATCAAACCATTGCTCGAGGAAGTGAAATGTTTCCATGTTCTGAATGTGGAAAGTTTTTCAACAAGAGAGCAGATCTCAATGTACATCTCCGAATCCACACCGGGGAGAAGCCTTACTCTTGTTCAGAATGCGGGAAAAGCTTTTCGAGGAAACGTTACCTTATTGAACATCAGAAAACTCACACGGGCCAGGACCTTTACTCCTGTTCAGAGTGCGGGAAATGTTTTACCCGGAGGCCAAACCTTATTTTGCACCACAAGACTCACACAGGAGAGAAGCCGTATTCATGTTCAGAATGCGGGAAGTCTTTTATATACAAGACTCATCTTGTTACTCACCAGCGAACTCATACGGGGGAGAAGCCCTATTCTTGCACCGAGTGCGGAAAGTCCTTTAAAGACAGGTCGTATTTTATCAGCCACCAAAAGGTTCACACGGGGGAGAAGCCTTACGCCTGCACCGAGTGCGGGAAAAGCTTCAAGTGGAAATCAAACCTGGTGACCCACCAGAGAACGCACACAGGGGAGCGGCCCTACTCCTGCACAGAGTGCGGAAAGTGCTTTCCGGACAAAGCGTATCTCATCGCCCATCAAAAACTTCACTCGGGGGAGAAGCCCTATCCTTGTCCTGAGTGTGGCAAATGTTTTTCGGTCAAATCGAACCTTATTAAGCATAGGAAAATCCATGTCCAGAAACCTTTCCTGTGCCGCGAGTGCGGAAGCTGCTTTGAGTCAAATCCATTGTTGGATTACCATAAAACCATGCATGGCCTGGAGAAGGAGATGCCGTTCTGAGAAGATCTTCCACCATGCCATGTGCTGCTGCCATGCTATGACCTCATCCAGGGCTTGCTAAGATGCTTCAAATGTCTGGGTGCATCCTAAAAAAAAGAGACAAACGTGGCCTACTGTGAAATTACCAAAGACGTTGAAGGGGCTCATTCTGAGCTGCTTGAATCTCAGAAAATGCAGGTCCCGTGTTCCCTAGTCCCAGCTCTGCTCTTGGGTGGCACTCAACCATAGATGAACAGGATGTGGTCCTACCCAGAAGCACTAATAGCCTACTGAGTTTGAGTTCTGTGTATTTTATAGCAATCCGATTAAAGTGGACCTGTTCTCATTATGCCCCATGTAATATCTAACACAGTGTACTAGGAGTAATCCGATCTGAGCCCCAGAGTAACTTCAGATCTAGTGGGAGCTCTTCTTACCCCTGCACATCATTACCCATCCCCCAACACGGTATTCAGTTTAATTCTTGGGGCGGGGTTTGTGTGCCAAATACAATATCAACCTTAACCTCTTACCGCCCATATAACGCATATGTGCAGGGGGCAAAGAAGGTGGATATTTAATGCCCACACACTGCACATACGTTATATTGCCAAAAGTTTTGGGCCAGCTCTCCAAATCATGTGATTCAGGTGTACCAATCCCCTCCATGGCCACATGTGTATACAATCAAGCCCCTAGGCATGCAGACTGCTTCTGCAAATATTTGTGAAAGAATGGGTCGCTCTCAGGAGCTCAGTGACTCCAAGCGTGATAGGTTGTCACCTGTGCAATAAGTCTATCCGTGACATTTCCTGGCTACTAAATATTCCACGCTCATCTGTTAGTGGGATTGTAACAAAGTGGAACCAACTGCGAACAACAGCAACTCATCCACCAAGTGGTAGGCCATGTCACATGACAGAGCGGGGTCAGCGCATGCTGAAGTGCACAGTGCTTCCAACTGTCTGCAGAGTCAATAGCTAAAGACCTCCAAACTTGGTGTGGCCTTCAGATTTGCACAACAACAGTGCGTAGAGAGCTTCATGGAATGGGTTCCATGGCCGAGCAGCTGCATCTAAGCCTTACATCACCAAGTGCAATGCAAAGTGTCGGATGCCGTGGTGTAAAGCACATCGCCACTGCACTCTAGAGCAGTGGAGACGTCTTCTCTAGAGTGACCAATCACACTTCTCTTTCTGGCAATCCGATGGACATGTCTGGGTTTGGTGGTTGCCAGGAGAACAGTACTTGCCTGACTGCATTGTGCCAAGTGTAAAGTTTGGTGGAGGGGGGGGATTTTGGTGTGGGGTTGTTTTTCAGGGGTTGAGCTTGGCCCCCTAGTTCCAGTGACGGGAACTCTTAAGGCGTCCGCATACCAAGACATTTTGGACAATTTCGTTCTCCCAACTTTGTGGGAAGAGTTTGGGAATGGCCCTTTCCTGTTCCAACATGACTGCACACCAGTGCACAAAGCAAGGTCCTTAAAGACATGGATGAGCCAGTTTGGGGTGGAGGAACTTGACTGGCCTGCACAGAGTCCTGACCTCAACCCCATAAGACACATTTGGGATGAATTAGAGCGGAGACTGCAAGCCAGGCCTCCTCCCTTGAAATCAGTGCCTGACCTGACAAATGTGCTTCTGGAAGAATGGTCAAACCTTCCCATAGATACCCTCCTAAACCTCCCAGAAGAGTTGAAGATGTTATAGCTGCAAAGGGCGGACCAACTCATTATTGAACCCTACGGACTAAGACTGGGGGGCCATTAAAGTTCATGTGCGTGGAAAGGCAGGGGACCCGATACTTTTGGCAATATAGTGTGTGTGTCTATAAGAGATAATGGTTTCTGTGCTGAGAGCTCCTTCCCTGCACAGAGAGTGAGCTGTCAAAGAGAGTTCCCGGTCTCTAGTAATGACCGGCTCCCGATCATGTGACCGCTTTTACAGCCAATCACAGTGGTCACGTAATCAGGCAGTCATTCCAGCCTCCGTGACGTAATAGCCAACGGGAAGGGCTTGAAGGGTAACTGCACTTTCGTGAAAAAAAAAAAAAAAGAAATTATAGCAAATAAAAAATACTAGAGCATATACAATTGCTAAACAAGCCATGCTGTCATTCTGATGTTAATAAAAAATACTTCTCCTTTTCAATCTGCGTCTGTTGTCATTGTCTGCCAAATTCAATGCAATATGACAACCTGGGGGCATTCGGTACACTTTTTGCTTTACCATTGATTAAAAAAATATAAAAAACTACATACACTACTATTGATAAACATAATAATAAAAAAAAAAATACACTACCATTAATTAAAAAAAAAATATATATTAATAAAATCTACCTACACCACTGCTACTACTACTACTAATAATAAAAACCTACACTACTATTAATAAACATAATAATAAAAAAATTACACTGCCATTAATGAAAAAAAAATATATTAATAAAATCTACCTACACCACTACTACTACTAATATTAATAATAAAACCTACACTACTATTAATAAACATAATAATAAATACAATAATAATTAAAAAAAATACTCTACCATTATTTTAAAATAATAATAATAAAACCTATCTACACTACTATTAATAAACATAATAATAAAACCTAAACTGCTATTGATAAAAATAATAATTTTGTGTATATACAGTTCTGTTCAAAATAATAGTAGTGTGTTGAAAAAAGTTAAGAAAGCTCAAAATCCTTCTAATAGCTTTTATTTCCATACACACAAATGCATTGGGAACACTACACATTCTATTCCAAATCAAAACATGAAGAAAAATAGATCAAATTTGTGTTATTCCTCTAAAAAAATTGAAGAAAAGTAAATATTAGATTGTTCAAAAAAACAGCAGTGTTTGTATTCTTCTTTACAAACTCAAACATTCACTATATAAACTGAAAAATGTTTGAAGATTTTGCTTTCCTTTGAATCACTTAATTAATATTTAGTTGTATAAGCACTGTTTCTGAGAACTGCTGTACATCTGTGTTGCATGGAGTCACCCAACGTCTGGCACCTGTGAACAGGTATTCCAGCCCAGGATGATTGGACTACATTCCACAGTTCTTCTCTATTTCTTGGTTTTGCCTCAGAAACTGCATTTTTGATGTCACCCCACAAGTTTTCTATTGGATTAAGATCCGGGGATTGGGCTGGCCACTCCATAACGTCAATCTTGTTGGTCTGGAACCAAGATGTTGGACATTTACTGGTGTGTTTGGGGTCGTTGTCTTGTTGGAACACCCATTTCTAGGGCATTTCCTCTTCAGCATAAGGCAGCATGACCTCTTCAAGTATTCTGCTGTATTCAAACTGATCCATGATCCCTGGTATGCGATAAATAGGCCCAACACCGTAGTATGAGAAACATCCCCATATCATGATGCTTGCACAACCATGCTTCACTGTCTTCACAGTGTACTGTGGCTTGAATTCAGTGTTTGGGGATCGTCTGACAAACTGTCTCCGGCCACTAGACCCAAAAAGAACAATCTTACTTTCATCAGTCCACAAAATGTTGCGCCATTTCTCTTTAGGCCAGTCAATGTGCTCTTTAGCAAATTGTAACTTCTTCAGCACGTCTTTTTTTCAAAAGTGGGACTTTGCGGGGGCTTCTTGCAGATAGCTTGGCTTCACATAGGCGTCTTCTAATTGTAACAGTACTCACGGGTAACTTTAGACCTTCTTTGATCTTCCTGGAGCTGATTGTTGGCTGAGTCCTTGCCATTTTGGCTATTCTTCTATCCATTCGAATAGTAGTTTTTCGCTTTCTTCCACGTCTTGCAGGTTTTGGTTGCCATTTTAAAGCATTTGCGATCATTTTAGCTGAGCAGCCTATCATTTTCTGCACTTCTTTATATCTTTTCCCCTCTCCAACTTTTTAATCAAGGTATGCTGTTCTTCTGAACAATGTCTGGAATGACCCATTTTCCTCAGAATTTCAGAGAGAAATGCACTGTAACCAGCATGTACAACATTTGCTACCTTCCTTCCTTCAATAAGGGCAATAATTGCCACCTGTTTTTCAAAGAATGAATGACCTCACTAATAGAACTCCACACTGCTATTATTTTGAACATGCCCCTTTCAATTACACAGAATCAGCAGCATGCATGTCATGACTGTTGGGTCTGTTGGATTTCTATTACTCTGCTACACCTGCTAGTAAATTATTTGCCATGTAGAAATATCATTTCTACCAAAAACAGTGATTGATCAGGTTAGTGATGTCTGACTGCTATTATTTTGAACACAACTATATATATATATATATATATTAAAAAAAACATTAGTGTGTGTTTTTTGTGTGTTATTGTGTATGTTCTGAGTTATAAATACTATTTTATTTATTGTATAAATTTTGTCTCATTATAAATGATATTATTATGGGTGGAGCTAGGCACTGATACAGACAGGGGACATCACATGAGCCATCTGTAGAAGAACAGGACAGTTCATTCCAGTGATGGTAACAGAACCAGCACTAGAGGTCAGCTGTCTGCTGTGTGAGAGGAGAATGTGTCCTCAGCGCTGGAGGGCCTGCATCCATTTTGTTATTGACTAGCTCTTATGATATGTCCCCTTTGTCATTTTTCAAATTAGTCAGATATTTTTCCCACCTATTTTCCATCATTTAGCAGAATATACAGTTAAAAAGTAAGAAAATGTAAATATATGTTTTTAAAATTGTGCCATTTTGTTGTAGCCCTGGGGAGAGGGAGGAGCTACTGAAGGGTCAGAATCTTCCTGGTGGGGGTGTAAGGTTGGAGAGTGTGTGCCCAGTGAGGAGGAGGCGGCAATAATGTCTTCTTTTTATAAGGAAAGGGTGACCCAGCACTCTGTATAGAATAGACAGGAAAGGGGTTGGGGGAATCATGTGATCTGTC